TTGATCAAAACTAGTTTTTTATATTTTTTTATTTTATTTTTTTGTATTTAATAAGTTGTGAATGGAGCTATATTGTTTGTTCTATTTTAAAAAAATATTTTTTTTTCCAAGTTATCTTAATTAATTTTTTTTAAATTTAATCCCTTCACTATTATATTTTATATTCTTTTCATCTAATTGAAATAAATTAATTTATTTTCTATGACCCGAATTGAATATCTTTTCATGTTTTAAAACATGCTAGCAATATTTAAGTATATTGTTTTTTTAAAAAAGAATACAGCATTTATACAAAACACGTGCTGCGAGACTCGTATTAAGGAAACATCATTTTATGATATTAATTTCTTCTTTCATTTTCCTTTGGGACATAATCGACAATTAAGCTATCAATTTGGGGGTAAAACATGTGCTGTGCCCATCAAGAGACCTACCTGCCCAAGTTGTTTAACAGTCTTGAACAGCTGGATAACGACATCGGTCATCTCCAAAGTATAGAGAATCAATCCATCGCATCGATAAACAACAGAGAGAGAGAGAGAGAGAGAGAGAGAGAGAGTTCTCCGAAATTTGAAAGCTCTTTTGAGTTGGTGTATCTGCAAAACTCAGTGGGTTTGTGGGGATGGTGTTGGTATTGGCTCTGGGGGATCTACACATACCCCACAGGGCACCTGATCTCCCTGCAAAGTTCAAGTCCATGCTCGTTCCCGGCAAGATCCAGCATGTCATTTGCACTGGCAATCTTTCTATCAAAGTACGTTCTTTCTACCATACTGTAATAATAATGGGCTTCTTTTGTTGTTTCAGTTCATTTCTAATTGGATTGTTGTTATTATTTGGTCAAATCAGATCCCTTTTCTTGTTTCATTGAATTTGACAAGATTATTAATGATCATGGCCTTTTCACTTGATTTTAATAAAGCGGAGCTTCTTTCTTGATTTCTAGATGCTAATGTATTAATACTATTGTTATCTCTTAGATGCTCTTGACTGGTCAACCTTGAGATTGCACAGTTGCCCATGTTGGCTTTTCAGCATTGTGTCTGGTTTTTTTATGGATAGGCTTGTTGGGCTAAGCCTTAGGTTTAAACCAATTTGTATTCAAAAGTGTTCTCCTTTTGGAAATAATAATAATAATAATAATAATAAACAACACCAGCGTGTGTGCTGATGCTGTGTTAGCAGTTCGAATGTCATTTGAGATAGTGCAAATCCGCCAGAAGCATTTAAGCATTAGTTTTGTTTAGCTTGCTGAAATAACTTTCACTAACTTATATTTTTCTAATGAGATTTCTAGGAAGTTCATGACTATTTGAAGACTCTTTGCCCTGACTTACATATTACTCGAGGCGAATATGATGAAGATACTCGATATCCTGAGACCAAAACGTTAACTATTGGTCAATTCAAGTTAGGACTATGCCATGGTCATCAGGTTTGATTTCCTTTTTCTCTTTATTATTTTTCTATCCTTTTTTTTCCTTAACCAAATGCATCTGTCTATTTTACCAGCAAACGATCCCTTTTACATTCTTCCCAGCATAACCAGGATGGTAGCCTAGATCCTCAATCCATTCTAAATTTCTGGCCTTGCATACAGCACTCAAATTAATGACCTCTTTTGTAGCTGTTGTGGTTCATTACAAACATGTAATGTTTTCTATGGTGCAATTTTACTTTACATGTCAGCTAATAAATCTAGTCGCCGAGCCTTATCCTTGTACTCTCTTGCCCTCAATTTTTCAAACTTCATGAAAATTACTCTGGTTTTTTAAATAGTATTGCCGCTCTCATCATATTCATTAAATTTTTTGTTGATTCATTCTTCTATTTCTAGTAGGTTCAAGACTACAACAAATGTTTTTGCAACTCCCTCACCTGTCATTGTTAAGCATTGATTATCTTTTTGGTGTCAGATGAAACTTCCTTGAGTAGACGTTAAGTGTGATGACTGTCCATTTCCACCAGCAGTATTCCTCTGTTTGTTTTATTTTTCATTTTATGAAGTAAGAAAGAATAAAGATATAGTGACAAAGATGAGAGGAAGTCCTCCACACTCTTGCCGGTGGTG